GAAGCTGGGGGAAGCTAGAAAGGAGTATAGGGGAAGCTGGAGGGGAGGTGGGAGGAGCGGAGGAGAGCTAGCAAAAAAGTAGGATAACTCGAAAAATGCAAGAAAATGAAAGAAAAATTACCTCATTTGGTGGGGTGATGGGGGAGGGAGGGGGGGGGGGAGCAAGACCTTGCTCTAAGTCTTACGACTAAATAATGTAGGAATATATATTTATATTTGCGAAGATGTACATGTAAATTTACGTAAATTTATGCGAGAGGTACGCGAAAAAGTAAATGCTAAGTTAGCAAACGAAGAAAGTATGAACTAATAATGATTTCTTTTTTCAACCCATTGACATCATTATTGCTTAAAAAAAAACAATTTTAGCAGTTATTGTAAGGTAGAGAGGAGCATAAAGAAATGCATGTAGAATCAATTAGGCAATCGCAGAAAAAATAAATTTTTATTTTAAGAGGCCCACGAGCTCACGTTGAGTATGAAAGGTTGAACCTTATTTTTTTTCCCCCTTCCATCGTCCTTTATCAAAAATAATCCTATTCCTTCCGTCATGATCCGCTGACAACCAGAACGCCTCAAGCGACATACACAGTCGTCATGAGGTATCAAATCGACTGCCACGTCCAAGGCAATAAACAGACTGTTCGTCAAACCGTCCATTTCAAAGTCAGCATAATTTTACAAAAACTACATAAAGCAGTTGTTAATAGTTAATGTAAAAGAGACTAATAATAACGCACTCAAATCACTGGTCAACTATGGAGAAAAATAGTCGACCCCACCGAGTGTGCGGCAGTGTTTCCTTAGGTTTTGGCCGTCGAAGGATAACGTCACCAGGCTACCCTCATTCTAAAAAAGGCGTTGGTACTGGAGAGAAGGCATAAGGAACGCATACAGAAATTTTCCTAGTGTGAGGAATCATGTTGTGAGACAAGTAGTGTTGAAACTCGGCTTTGTGAACTTAGTCAGCCGTACGAATACCTTAGAAAATGCACTTACTACAGGCATCAAAGAGAAAAAATAGAAGCTTTATTGTTGTATGGGACAAACAGCAAAAAAATAGCGAACGAAGTCAGCAAATGCGTTACAGTGTCGACAGTGAAAGTCAACAAATAATACACTTTTAAGTCCTTCCCTAAATCTTGTCCCATACGAGAAAAGAGAGGAGTATGAAAAAAACGTACTATTGAAAAATGTAAGGATGAAAAATACTAGAAAAATGTACTACACAGGTCAAAACTTAAATGCGGAATACACCACCATAAAATAATTTCTTTATTCATACTTCCAAGCTTGTCTTGACCAAAATACAAGTGAAATGTAAGACGATTGATCGTCAAACTATCTGACTCTACGATGTTTTCAAATATGTTCAATGACCCCACAGTCAAGATGGGCCACATAATATTATAACCAACTATTTAGAAACTCAAAAAGCGACCTATATGCCCACGTAAAACCGATGCAAAATAAGGGATAACGTAATGAAGCATGTTTGCGATTAAGAATTTTTAACCAAGCAAAAATACCAACATTGACAAAAATACTTAAATAAACTACAATACTTATACAAAAAAAGGACAACATAATAATTAATAGATACGTTTATTATTATACACGTTATATGTAAGGGAAAACACACTCGCAGCTCAATGCTGAAAAAAAAGGAAAAATAAGAGAAAAAGTGTGGTACATACAATAATACACTTAAATAGATAGCTGTCAATAGAGTGTACATAATGTCTGGGCAAATACTTAGCACACGGACTAAAACGCGAGCTTGTAGGCAAGAACCAAGGTTAGCAACTAATAGCTAACAGTTTTATATATACCAGAGTTAGTAAATTCAGAAATGGAGCTTATTTTTCTTATACGTAAGTGCCTTCTCCATCGACGGGTCCTACTATTAATATGTTATAGAATAATTACAGGAAAGCAAAGAAATCCAGAAGAAACAAGTGAATTGGCAGCAGTTCAGTACACACCAACTGTACAACTCCTAGAAAAGAGGTGACTGCAACCCTCTAGACGAGTAAAAAAGTGGCCATTGGCCGTGGCACATGATTAAAATTTGCGAAAAAGCAAGTATGAGCGCCGGAAGTCGTTTGAATGTATCGGGGGGCACATTCCGTAGGACAAGACTCAGAAAAAATTTTTTTTTCTGAAATACGTAATATCAAGAAATTTATGTTAAGCTTTATTGTAAAAAAAAGCAAATAATTAAATAAAAAAATCAGACGTGTGGCATTCTGGGACTGCCATGGTAAAGCTATTGCATAGCATTTTTATCGACTTATACAATTATAATTATTTATTTATTTCTTAATTCATAATGTATAATACTTAAATGGAATATTAATGAACAAATAATTGATTACTAAATTATTAGCGAGCATATTAATGTTCCAATTGATCAGATTACGGGATTACCGAATTACCCACTCTTCCATTCTACTTATGAGGGTTGCCATTTTTAAATTTCGTGACGCTCGATTTCAGCGCACCACCTACTTAAGGAACGTCTGGTGTTTGTTTCAGTGACGGTAAGCTCACACGATCACGTTTAGGTACCATCTGCATGAGAGAACACTAATACTTTCTCTGCGTGGCATTAATGTGTATCACCTGTATACAAACAACATAAGTAATTACTTAATAGTACTATAGTACACGTGCATAGTTTAATGGTTTTTATTCTATACATAATGAAAAATATACATATATAGAATGTAAGCTCTCTCTCTCTCTGTCTCTCTGTGTACGTGTGTGTGTGTGGGCGTGGGGGCGCGTGCGTGTGCGTGTGTAAAAGAGGGCTAATTTTGAGATTTTTCATTCTACAATACAAAATTAAGGTTGTTTTAAAGCAGTATTATATGTCAATTTAAAAATTTAAACAAAACAATACTGCGTTTGTGATAATAAAACAATGTTTGTGTACAGAGTAATTCCTCATTTTCTTTCACTATTTTTTCATCACTTTCTTCATTAACAGTTGCACCTTGTTTATTCATATTAAAAATACTTTATACACAAATTTCCCGCGTACAGCTATTCACTAGCCACTGCCATTCAGTGTTGTACATAGGTATACCTACGTCGACCTATATACCGACATATATACTTACGGGGTGCACATGCTGTGAGTGTGGCATGATAAAGATATGATAGATACATAAACATCAGCATACTTTCTCACAAACAGCTGCTTACGTATTCGTCCGATTTCAGAGCAGCTCGTCTTGATCCGCGCGAGCTTCGTACAGTCATACCATATGCATACAGGTTAAGCAAACGCTCGGCTGAGCTACATTGTAGGCAGAGTGGGGGGTGTTAGGTTTAATTTTCGTTACACAATTTCTTGATTCAGTCACCGTGCTCAAAGCTTGCGATAAAAGCTATGCAATAGCTTAAGAACCCTACCCTCGATCACAATACATGATAGTTGTAGCTATAATAATAAAAATTATAAAAATGAGCAGACGAGATTGAGCTCCAGGAACTGCTCAATTGTATCGGGGGGCACAGTCCGTAGGACGGAGACAAGAAAGAATCTTCTTTGTTTCCAAAATACGTAATGACAGTAGAGTTATATTTAGTTGAGTACTATGATTCATCACAATTTATGAAGTAAATCAATAAGAAAATAAGAATGTATGAGCGCCAGGAGTCTCTCGACTGTATCGGGGGGCGCAGTTCATAGGACAAAGACAAGAAAAAATTTTTTTTCTTTTTAATACTGATGATAAGAATATTGTATTAAATTTTTTTTTGTTAAGTAAGCAAATCATAAATAGGCGAATGAGAACCTATAAAATAAAAACTTCATTTTTAATAACGTATTGTATAATTTCGAATTTATTATTTTGTATGTGAAACAACACTTGATGTAAGGTTGTCTTGAGCAGATGCTCAATTCACAACAATTTTACATATTATTGTAATATAAGGCAAAGCGCATACATAATTAATATTGTTCGACACTAAAAACACTCAATGATTAGGGAAGCCAAAATACAAATATAACGAGAACAGCAGTTTTCTATAATTTAATAGAAGAATGAGTGTGAACTACTAAACTACATAAACAACATAGACAACAGAATACAACACAGCACACACGCGCACAATCACAAACAAGTGTACAGGCTCAACACTGTACAAATTGAAAAGCCATCGTCATCAAGGGCGATGACGTCACGACCTTGGACGTGTAACGTACGATATGCAAGGTATATCATACTGACTTTTCCTGGTAATAGCGAGGCTGATTTGGCAAGAGGGCATCAACAGGAGTTTTAGAAATGATAAAAGCCGAATAGTTTTAAAGTTGCAGCAAAATATCTTGAACATACTTAAACAATAATTCTTGAACTTATTACAGTTACGACATTAAAATATTTCTAGATAAATGGAATCAAAGCTCGTTGTAAAAGAATAGTTACGACAAAAAAATAAGATATCACGTTAATGTGTTTTTGAAAGTATACAATCTCCACTCACGTCCTCTACCAAACATCATGACGGCAGTTACTTAAAATAAAAAGAAAAAAAAGACTTCTGGTATTTCCTCAGCCTTTAATTTTTTGTACTGTAGTTTATAAAAAGATTGAAAAAATTGTACATAAATTAATTGCAAAACAAAAATCTCATAAGAGCAACATCGTCCATTAAATGGAGAAGAAATTGTCCTACTAAAAAATGAGTCACAAAAACCTAACGATAAATTGTATAGAAAAACTACTTTATCTATTAATTCAAATAGCAGTAAATAGTTTAAACTACTTATTTTAATTACAAAATATAAGAAATAAGACTAAGGACGATAATAGGCCCAGAAAATTTTTAATCAAAATATTTCACTACAAACATGCGATAAAGAAGCATTAGAACTTATACATAAAAATATAACTCAGATCGCAGCGAAAAGGTAACCAGGAAGATATTTTTAAAAAAGCTGTCTAATGTAAATAAATAATTATATAAGACTANTGAACCGCGTCGGTCTGATGATGCCGATCGACCTCGGGGCCAAGGGCAGCTGCCTGATCGGTGGCAACGTCTCCACCAACGCCGGAGGCTTGAGGCTACTGCGCTACGGCAATCTTCATGGGAACGTCCTGGGACTCGAGGCTGTAAGCGCATTTTTTTTTACTTCTTCTAATACACGTGTTAAAAGACTATGGGGTATAATTATACATGAGGTACATGGGTACACCCCTCGTACCGATTTTGTGACGATCGAGATCTGATTTCGATTCTCTTATGTTTAGCCTTTTTTTTTTCTTTCTCTGCTCCTTTTCTGTTCGATTTTTTTTTTTTTTTTCCTCTAACAACACGCAATTTTTCTTCCCTCCCTTCGTTGGCTTGTGGTTTCATCATTTTATCATGCACATCAGGTATACTTACGCTTCCATACCCCATTTAACACGTACAGGTGCACATCGTCCTTACGCTAGATGAAATTCATTTCTCACACGTTTATCATGAATTTCGTGGGGATTATTGCAAATGTGTTTCAATATTGATACCATATTAAATAATATACGCAGCATTTTCCCACAAAAAAAATTGCTTCACCTATAATTTCGGTACGATATTGATGCACAGTTTCTCAACTCGCGTATACGTTCACGGCAAGTTTTTGATTTTATCTAGCTTTAATCGTCAGTCACATACAAATGAAATACAATGTAAATGTTAACGACCATTGAGGAGGTAAAAAGCTGCGCCCACGAACAACACCCGTAGCCTATACATATATATACACATACTTACGTACAAAACCTTTTAATCAGCCTCAATTTCCCTTTATAAACGCTTTAACGAGCTTCCCACTCTTGCTTTCTTGTACCTATATACATGTACATGTCGTATGTTTCATGTTTATATTAGTTCCACTTGATTCTCAATCCTCCTTACATATGTTGTGTTAATCTCTTTTGACCTTCGATGAATAGATTTTCCCAACTACAAAATTCCTCCTTACAAAAAATTAATAATTTTATTGGGAATGTTTAGCATTTAACAACTAGAATAAAAAAAAAAACAAAGTAATGTAACAACGAGCTCTACTGTTTTACACGACTTGGCAATATCAAAAAATATTTTTGTTGTTTGGGTACAACGTGTACATGTACGGTGTGTGTATAGGTGATGGCCAACGGCAAGGTGATAGATTGCCTGAACACGATGAAGAAGGACAACACGGGCTACCACCTGAAGCACTTGTTCATCGGGTCGGAGGGTACATTGGGCATCGTGACAAAAGTGTCGATTCAGTGTCCCACCCTACCCAAGGCACTGAACGTCGCCTTTCTCGGTGAGCTATTTCCGCCCCCCCCCTCCTTGTAAATGTAATATAATTTACCACCACATGTATGTATTGTGTGGGCATGGGTGTAATATACTCATAGCTCGTATGCTCGATATTCCCGTGCACTGTATAATTCGGACGGTATCGAGTGAGAGAGAAAGAGGAGGAGGAAGAGAGACCCGGTCGTACGATATATAAGTATTTATTGCGCGTTGGAGAAATCCGGTTGACCTGACTCCTCTTTTTTCGTCGACTCTCTCTATTGTTATTATTGGGCGGACTCTGCGCGCCGGGCGTTAACCGGAGGGAAACTAACTTTTTTTTTTTTTTTTTGATGGTAAGACTAAGTAGAAACAGAAGCAGCAATTTTGAATCGCACTTGGTACTGAAGACTTAGGAGTCGTAGAGGTAGAGATTATTCAGAGCTCATTCAGAGTAATTTTTTAAGTTCTCATATTTGTTTCATCTCGAGTTTGTCATTATTGAATTTAGACGCTAGGGTGGTTAAAGTAGCTTTTGTGAGAGAAATTATTCTTTAATAAAAATTCTTAACTGTCACATTTTGCTTCATTGTAGTATTTAGAGTTGTGCCTTGTATTTATGATACGATTTGATTGAGGAAAAATTATGTTTTGAATATATTTAGACTAACGAATCAAAGCTGAAATAGAACCTATCATACTCACTTAAACTTTTCCTTTAAGTTTAGAAATAATTGTGTGGAGGTACACTAGTACTTGAGTGGCTATAATTAGAGTTTGTACATTGTCTACGTTTCTTGTTCGACGAGTTTTCTCGACGTCTTCCGGGCATTTTTACTGACATTTTTATATACTGGGTTAGAAACCAAGTAACTTTGACTTTTTTTTGCATAGCAAATTGATTCATACAATTTGAATACTTACAACTTGCACGTCCAAGAAAGTTCTGCAGAAACCGAAACAAACGTTAGCCCGACGGGGTAAAGTCGCTGTACGGTAAATCCATTAAAATTTTCTAGCCAAGCTTTTTTTATTTTGATCCTGTGACTAAGAATTTGTGTGGTCCAACGTTGTCTTGATGGAAAACACCGCCTTTCCAATTAATCAATTCTTGAAGTACTTTTTTCTATCGCCTGCTACAATCGCATCAGTTGTTGACAGTTAAGAGTCAAAGTAAGGAGACGTTATGATTACAAAAGTGTAAAAGCTACATATTTTTAATAATCGTTAATAGAAACTTTAATGACAAAATAAAACTGAGCATTTTTCAAACATGCCTTAAAAATCTTGCAAATGCTAACTCAGTTTAAAAAATTACTACTGCACGTATTTACAAAAAAGAAAACTAACTAATAATATTCATAGAAGAATAATGCCACTTAGTTCATACGAATAAGAGAATAAGAGAAAAGTAGTATTGGAAAAAAGTGTGCAGTGACGTTACTAAATACATAAAAAAGTGTTAAATTTGCTAAGAACAAAAATAAGTCCACACGAAAACCAGAAAGCCTATGGTAAAAACAGACATACTATCAGAAGTATTTTATAAGGCTGATATAATTACAGTATGTCTTCTTCCTAAGAATACATCTGAAAATTAGCACATCTTAATAATCCTATGCTTAGTTACAAGCTTAAAACTTTCTTGTTAAATATGTGTTGATTCCAAATTTTTTCCGTTTTTCAATTAGAACATTCAAGGTTCTGCAACTTTCCCAAAATTTAAAAAAAAATGGTGGTAATAGTTATGGTAATCCTTAAAAATATTAGAGATTTGTTTGATTTTTCAGTTTTAAAAATATTTCAATAACTTTTAACTTTTTCGAGATTTGTTTAACCCCGTAGCTATACATTTCATGTACTAAGTAAGTTACTGAGGATATTTACAACTCGAATTCATCAAGTTTTGTTTTTAAATTTTATTCTAAGTTTTTTAAAATTAAAATATATTAAATAACTATATAATCATAATATTTTAAATAGTTTGATATTTTTTCTCACGTAATTGTTTGAAGTTTTAAATATATCATTACGTCATCAGTAAATATAATTTACTCAATTCTCTGCAGTCCTGATAAAAGAACATCCTTTAATAGCTGAAATGTTGTAGGTGCATTGCATAGTCCAAATAACATTTCTACATACTCATAATAATCGTTTGGTGAAAGAAGAGCAGTTTAACGTTTATCCACAGAGTCAACTTCCACTAGCTAGATTAAAAATATAGAAGTTTGAGCCTCCAATTCACTCTATTGTTTCAGTGATTTTTTGTAGTCGACAAGCATCAGAAATAGTTTTTTTTATTAAACTTACGGTACTCCAGTACTAATTTTTTTTCCAATAGATCGTTGTTTTTTGAGTACTACTGTAAGGGTTATATTATTTTATAATTGTACCAACCAGCGAGAATTTTTCTATTGAAGTTCTTATTTCTTGGTGCAAAGATAATAGGCAGTGTTATTGCTAGGTGTATACAGAACAGTCGTATGTTATGCGTATTTTAAGTGTCATGATAGAAGTACGAGGAGACCAACCACCCAGAACATAGCAAAAATAGGCATCATTTTCTACAATTTTCCTTATTTAATACGGACGAGCTTTTGAGAAATAAATTTTTTCTAGCTTATTATTTAAAAAAATAATGCTATCTTTTATGTCATTTAAATCATTTTCTCCAAAGCCAACGTCAAAAAAGTCTTTAGATTCCATAAAATCAAAAGGCTAAAGCTCTTGTGAAAATAACTTTTTACTGGTCCTCATCTTTTTTGTTTAAAGGTACTGTATAACAGTAATATTCTTTACAAGCTACCACTACCTTGCCTATGTACACCGTGAGTTCGGTAGTAATTCTACAAAAATAAGCGGGGCCAGTGGTCTTATTTTTAGTTGGTTACTCAATAGCTCCTGTTGTTCTGGCTAATGACTTATAAATTCTGTTTTCATTTACTTCAAATCCTTGAAAACGACAATGGATAGTATCGTGTGGGAGTATGGGTATTTATTAATTGTTGTAAAATGGTAAAATAAATTTCAAAAGGTGATTCTAAATTTTATTATATTTTTAGTCTTAAGAGTTTTTTATTTCTTAATTATTTTTATAGACTTAATTTCATTATTACAGTATAGAAAAGGTAAAGGTTTAATTGTTCTGCTTCCTAGCATCAATACATTTATGCCGTATCCGAGTCAAGCGTCTTCTGGAGAAATAAACGGATCTTCTATGATACATACATTATTTATTGATTATTAGGGACTTATAACATAACATTTTTAATCTGTATCACATAATTCAACCGTCATAGTACCTAGAGCGTAAATTTTCTGTACAGTAACTTCTTCTGATTGAATTATATTATCACAATTAATTCTCTTGCGGTTCTCTAATGTCGAACAACTGATGACATTTACTTCCACACCCGAAACTAAAGTCAAAACTTTTTAATGTTTCTGAAATGTTTCGCAACGTTACTTGACTGCTGGTAAATATCTTACTGTTCTGCTCCAGAGACTGTGTCGATTTTATTGTCATTATTGATTTTAAGCAATCACAAATCATAGACCGTACTCGTCGAATTTTGGTTGAGTCATCTTGGTGTCCTTATTATCGTAAGTGTGAGAAGAAAATTTCATATTGTGGGCTGATGGATCATTAAAACTAACTTTTTTTTTTTTTTTTGATGGTAAGACTAAGTAGAAACAGAAGCAGCAATTTTGAATCGCACTTGGTACTGAAGACTTAGGAGTCGTAGAGGTAGAGATTATTCAGAGCTCATTCAGAGTAATTTTTTAAGTTCTCATATTTGTTTCATCTCGAGTTTGTCATTATTGAATTTAGACGCTAGGGTGGTTAAAGTAGCTTTTGTGAGAGAAATTATTCTTTAATAAAAATTCTTAACTGTCACATTTTGCTTCATTGTAGTATTTAGAGTTGTGCCTTGTATTTATGATACGATTTGATTGAGGAAAAATTATGTTTTGAATATATTTAGACTAACGAATCAAAGCTGAAATAGAACCTATCATACTCACTTAAACTTTTCCTTTAAGTTTAGAAATAATTGTGTGGAGGTACACTAGTACTTGAGTGGCTATAATTAGAGTTTGTACATTGTCTACGTTTCTTGTTCGACGAGTTTTCTCGACGTCTTCCGGGCATTTTTACTGACATTTTTATATACTGGGTTAGAAACCAAGTAACTTTGACTTTTTTTTGCATAGCAAATTGATTCATACAATTTGAATACTTACAACTTGCACGTCCAAGAAAGTTCTGCAGAAACCGAAACAAACGTTAGCCCGACGGGGTAAAGTCGCTGTACGGTAAATCCATTAAAATTTTCTAGCCAAGCTTTTTTTATTTTGATCCAGTGACTAAGAATTTGTGTGGTCCAACGTTGTCTTGATGGAAAACACCGCCTTTCCAATTAATCAATTCTTGAAGTACTTTTTTCTATCGCCTGCTACAATCGCATCAGTTGTTGACAGTTAAGAGTCAAAGTAATTGCCTGACCAGGTCCAAGAAACTCAATAAGAACAATACCTTTTTGGTCCCACCAAATACTTAGCTTCATCTTTCTAGGCGTCAGTGCAGGCTTTGCAATTGTTTATGAAGCTTCTCAGGGCTTTGAGAACTATCTTTTTCACTCATCAGTGCCATACACCATCCAGTTTTTATTACTTGAGATTGTTCGTTTAAAATACAGCTCAAATTTATTTTATTTTTGTAGCCATTCACAAATATAAAGTTAGTTAGATAAATTTTTTCTGTTAACCTATGTGCAACACAAGTATCAAGCTTTTTTTGGATTCCAGCCTTATGTTAATGTCTCAAAACTATTACACGCTTAGTTTTTAGTTCCATAGTTAAACTGTGCGACAAAATACGTTACGTTGGCTAGATTTTTAAAATAATTTCATTAACTCTTTAACGATTGGCTGACTAGGGTGAAGTTTATCTTTAATACTTCAAGTTCTGGACCGAAAATAACTAAACCTATTCTAATACTGGTATTCATTAAAGCACTAATCACCATTTTTGGTAAGCCTGCGCTGCAGTTTCTTCTTTTTAGAAGTAAAAATTAAAATATAACCAAATAGGTCTTCTGGAATCTTTATTGTTAAAACCTCATAACTTTTGTCTCAGTACCTACTTTTATATTTACAATATTTTATTGGCTGTTACGTTATTTATGTGCTATAGTATAGCTTTATTAAATAAGTATCGCTAGCAGTATACAACTTCAATTCGATTTATTAGAAAAAATTATAATTATTTTTTTTCCTGACCCAAAATTATGATATTTTTCTTAAATTCTTGTGGTTTCTTATTGTTTTTTTTTTGTAAGCAAAACTAGGATTTGAAGAGCACACAAGAGATATCGATCAGTTATGACTAAATTTTTTTAGAGTATGGTCTTAACTGTCCGTAGAGTATGGTTTTGTTTAACTGCCTTTTGTGGATCTCCTTAGGATAGGAAAAACTTGCGAAATCTTTGACTAGAAAGAGGGAGAAAGAGAAAGAGAGAAAGGGAGGGAGAGAGAGAGAAAGAGTGACGTGGTGTAATATTATAGGTATTCTATTACATACTAAGTATGTTGCTTTATCGGGGCCTCAGCGTTGCATGTTAGTGTACATGAGGTATGACGGGTGAGAAGAATATAGAGAGTAACTATATTTGACATACTAAGAAAGAGAGAAACAGATATGAATTATTTATTATAAACAACCTACTTCTTAGAGGGTGAAAAAAGAGACGCAAGCGGTGCTACTGTTAGTTGATTGTAGAGTGTATTTAAAGGGAAGTGTGTTTGAAGACGCAACCTCTGGGGACTGCATGGGTGATAGAAGTGGTAAAAATGGAAATGTATTTTAATACATTACTGCTTGGCTTGTCATTTGCCCAGTTAGTCCCCAAAATTTGTAGAGCCAATCACTGACTTTTGAACATTACACCAACACTTCTCTTATAACCACTCCATTAGTTGAAAGAACCAGAGCACTACCTCTTGACCAGATATAGATGGCAGAGTCATGGCTGCTGCCATTGGCCATAGTTTTTCGCTGCAGTGTTTAGGCAAGCCTATTTTTTTTATGGACTGTCTTAGCACTTACTCTTGAAAGCCACTCACGAATTTTTTGAGCAATGCATGGTAAGCCAAAGTATACTATTTAGTCGTGTGACTTGCCACTACACTATTGCGCTAGCTCTTATTAAAAATGCTTATGGTCATGCGAGTTGTAAGTAGATCGTCAAAACAAATCTATTGAGCGTACAAACTGCTTCTCTGTACACTAGTTAGCTTGCCCAATACGATTGGAATCTCATGAGCAGTTCGAAAAAGACAAAGAAAGTCTCTACATTTATTAACTTTTGCTAATTTCTTCAACAGTGTTATATGACACTGGCATTCTAAGAAATAGATATCGATCAATCTTCTTACACAATCTGTCTTTATTCGTCATGACCGTATTTCCGCTTGGTGTTCTTGAAAATGAAGAGTTAAGATTAACGTTTATAAATTTTATGTACTAACTAAAGTTACTGGAAGCGTATTGCTTTACAATTAAATAACAACATTTTTCTTTCAGTATGTTATTACATCTTATGTATTGCAATGCTGAAAAAATTTTATCAACGATACACTACTGCGACAAATAGGGAGCAAATATTTAACTAACGGATAAAATGGTGGATTTAGCGTGTAGTAATAGCGCACCCATAAAAGTATGGCTACATAACAGTTACCACATGAAAGAACTCTGCCTCTCCACTTCATTAAAATGATGGTAACAGCTGTTGCTGTAGCCTACAGTTTTTTATTACAGTAGCACATTAACTTTATTTTTCATGCATATCGTTTTTGTGCAAGGTCTCAAAATACTCTCATGGATGAGTGAGCAATACACAAATTGCCAAAATATTTTAATTAGTCTTCTGATCTGCTGCCATGCTGTTGCACTAGCTTTTTCCGAAAGTGCTTGCGATTGCATAAGTGACAAGCGTATCGCTAAAAATACATCGGCCGACCAATTGATTAGCATTTCAGTATACTAGCATACAAAAAAAAAGAATCAAAAATGTTTTTCTCAAAACGTTATCCACAAGCACAAAAAAAGGTACAAGCCTATAAAAAAAAAATAGTTAGAGAATAACGGAATAGTTAGAGAATAACGAAGGAAAATGCTTAGTAACACAAAGTCCGACCATGACCTTTGGTTGAATCATTTCTCCTTTAACGGGCAACACTGTAACAACTAACCGACAAGATGAGTCTAAAATTAACTAAATCAAACCTTATCGCAACTCACTCAAAAACCAATGGTAATTGTAAAATTCTACTTTCAGAAAAATAAAAAAAAATCCAAAATATGTTTTTAAAAATTTTTTTCACAACTGTCCCCCTCCAGTAGAAATTTGTGCTTTTCTTAGCGGTGCGCGTTGGCAAAAATATTTAAAATACCGCAACATTTTTATAAGGGAAAAAAAATGTTTTGCAGAGGGACAGTGTTTCATTGCGTTATCGACGATTCTTTATCAATTACACATGGTCCCAAGTGAGACTTTTTTTGAATGGATTGTTTTTTGTCAAATACTAATAGAAAAATTATTGATTCTATTACTCTGTATTTCTTCAAAATAGTGATTAGAAAAAATAAATTTAAATACACAACTTATACAGTTTATTCATTTTATGATTGGTTGTTGACTTTATGCTGCCACGTTTCTCATTTTTGGGTAGTCCTGTAAACATATGTAAGTATGTATATAAATAGGACATATATAGGTATAACTCTATAAGAACCGTCTGCAATACCTGCATTCGCATAGAGCACACCTACCCACCTGTACTTACTGCTTTACTCAGTACACCATGGATGCATTTGATAACTCGGTAGGTGTTAGTAAATTTTTATATAAGATCCAGTATATTTGGAAGCTCGAATGGATCCCGCTGAATTGAAAAAGTTTGTGAAGGACGGTTGTTTCTCAAATCGCAAATCTGATAAGGCGTTTTGCGGTCTATCACCTGACATGGTTATCGAACAAACTCTGAATCGGTTTTTCAGCCCAGACTTGGTTCATGGGCGTGGAGTAACAAATAGCGTGGTGACTCGCTATTTTGTGAGGTATGCCTGCTGCTGTTAACACAATGAAATGTTTAGAAAACTACTGCCATTTTGAATTTGACTTCAGTGAACAGCACATCGATTTTAAGTGTGGCCGCTTGTCAAATGATGATGACATTTACGAAAATTCATATTTTGGGTAAACGAACACAAACCTTCCGTAGCCAGAGAACGTCTTGTATCTTCTTCTACTGGTGTTTCATGAGGGGAGGGATACTACCAACTGCCTTATGGCCTTTGAGATACATAAGAGAGCCTGGAAGGAATGGTCGGGAACAACGCTGAAAATGTTACTGTATCCAAAGCACATACAGTGAAACCATTATCGTCTGCATACAAAATTATTTACATATATCAAAAAATCATAATTGTTGACTTATCCGTGCTATTTCAAATAATTGCTTGTATTTTTTAAGGGAACGAAGAAAAACCACGTAACACTTTAGCTCATAAATTATCACCTTATCCACTCAGTATTTTTGACAAGTCCGGTTTGATGAGAAAATCGAGCAAATTGAAGTTGTACAAAATCTTCTAACCAAGCTGCCAATACCTAGAATTATTATCAAGTTCTTAGTATGATGTGAATGGAGGCTGGTTACTTAATTATATGGTATGGCTATGCCACTGAAAATTTTGTAAATCATTCGAGGTGTATCTTAACGTGTTAAAGCGTGATTTTAAAGATACGTGTGTTGTGGTTTTTGACAGCTATAACTGTTACGTGATAGGCGTAAAATCTAACGAAAGATATCGCAAAAAAGAGAATCGGTCACTGCAGATGTTGAAGTGCTTCTTGACCAGCTCATTTCGTTTAATCAGGCTCACTTTCTATTAAGTATAGTGAATTAATACAAATTTGTTCGTTTATTGTCAGCACTTGAATGCATCGAACATTCTTACTATAATTGCTGAAGAGGATGCAGATGCTGTTATTGTCAGAAAAGCAAAAGTAGTGACTAAATATGTTGCAACCCCCGTTGCCATAGCTGAAAATGATGTCGATTTATTTGTGGTGGTTGATGGGCTGACAAAGAGTAATAAAAAAGTATGTTTCTTTAAAATAGTGGATGGAAGAACCACAAATATACTGTATGAAACGTGATATCATACACATATACAGCCGTACATAATGCTAGCATATAATTTTGTCAGGTGCAACTCGACAAGCTCTTTTTTAAGAAAGGTAAAAAATTAATTTTAACCATTTTTAGTACAGTATCTAAACGACGAAGCATTGTTCTAGTATTTAGCGAAAAAAAAAAGACAGTTAAAGAACTTTTCCCAGCGGCAGAAAAGATAATCCTTTATTGGTATACATCGAGGTTGCAACGTATTACTTGCGTCAATGATTTGCGGTATTGTATGTATCAGTCTTTTTTTAGAAAATCCAGATCAAAGAATTTCGTAGCCCTGCTACCACTAATAAATGCCGCATTAAAGGAACCCACGAAATGAGTACACTACTGAATGCAGGAGTGGCTGGGCAATAAGATGGCTCCTGAAAAGTGGGGCTGAAGAAAGACTGATTTAATGCTTGTTCTCTTCTTAACTGAAAAATTATCAGCACCTAAGTAACTGTTAGAATTAGTAATATAAAGGTTCTGGCACATTACATAATTATTTACTTTCATTAACGGTTTTTTGTCATAATAACATGCTTAAAAATCTAAATGAAGCCAATACTGTATATCAGTTGGTTTTTAATTTTTTCGTAGGTCTCTTGCAGTTGTCAAAGAAACTGCAACACAGGACGTTGTAGTTGTCAAAAGGCTGGTCTTCCTTGCTCCCGTGTGTCCAAGTAATGTAATGGAGAAATATGCGATAATATCACTAAAAAACAAAAAAAAGTCGTTGATGCGTTTTACGAAGACGACAAAAATACATTATTTCAGAATGACCATGACGACGGAAATATTTGCGACAGTGTCGAAAACATCGAAGAAGAAGTTGTGGATATTGAAGTCGATTCAGATTAAATTTTTAATAAGATATTGCCCTTGTTCTCTGTCTCTTTTTCCTCTTGCCAATCATCCTGTACTATTTTAAACAGCCACGGAGTCGAAAAATCTATAATTTTTCTGTTAGTATTAGACAAAAAAAAATCCATCCGAAAAAAGTCTCACTTGGGACCATGTGTAATCGATAGAGAATTATCGATAACGCAATGAAACACTGCCCCTCTACAAAATATTGTTTTTTTTTCCCTTCTAAAAATGTTGCGAGACTTAAATTAATTCTTCCAACGCGTAATGCTAAGGAAATCTGAAATTTCTGCTGTGATCGGCCCAGGCTACCGTATACATTGCCTTCTTTCCTTGTTGCTCAGCCACTCTGCTTTCTCCTGAGCTGCTGGAAGAATAGGAGCTGCTGGATGTTGCGGCTCGAGTGAAAGTAAGCGTTTAATCACTGTCAAGTTGTGACTGAGCGATAAGCTTTGTTTTATAATGCCAAGGAGCCAAGTTGGGTCCCGGATGATATGATTTCCTAATTCTATAGCTGAGTGGGGTCCCGGCCATTAAATGTTGGTGCCAAGTTGGGTCCTGGTCATAAAATGTCGATACCGAGTTAGGTCCTGGTCAATAAATGTTGGTACCGAGTTGGGTCCCGGTTATTAAATGTCGGTACCGAGTTGGGTCCCGACACTCGTGGCTAGTGATTTTTGCCTACTAACTTTTTAACCTTTTTAGCAACAGAAAGATTATCAGATATCCTAACAAACAAACGCTGTTTTACTACATAGTAAACACTTAAATTTGAATATATATATATTCTACTTGCAGGATACAATATCTTGCTTCGCGATTATCAGCTAATTCTGCCGTTAGTCGTCAACGCTGCTTTGAAATATGATATACTATCATGGCAATAACAAATCAATACTACTTTCTCACATATTAAACATGACTGAATTCTTAAAAACTTTCTTTGGTTTGCCTATTCTTAAGCCAAATGATGGTAGTGACTGTGTCACAGAAGATCTGATTGCTAGTCTGCCATAAGATAGAAATGAGGAGAAATTCTGTGAGTATGTGCTAGATAATTACATTAAACCTGATGCTTCTATGCCTCTGACACTTTGGGCATAGCTTATGAGTTCTATCTGTCGAATAACTAACGGTTGTAATGCATTCCACTCCAGATATCACAGTATGTCCTACACTTCAAGGCCAAACTCAAACATCTTTGTGGAAGCATTACAATCAATTCAAGCTGAAGCTTATGTTAAAATATGAAGTGCTAAAAATAAGTCCACAGTGACTCAAGGTAAAGAAATGTTTTTACAAACAAAGATGCAACAGTATCAAAGTAGATCCATAACTTGACTACAATTTGTTCAGGACGTTTCTATGAAATTTTTAGCTATATAATACATCGTGACTACATTGTACTTGGCATTTTCATTTATGACAAGGAGTCTCTGCATGCAGACAAATGTACGTAGGCTTGTATGTCCATATTTAAGAAACACAGACACATTTTTAAAAACGCCAGTAATATATATATACTACCAGTTCGAAGCCTGGATTAAGTGTGACGAAAAAAAAGCATTTGTTTGATAGCATATCCAATACCCCCTCTGTTGCTAAAAAAGTTAAAAAGTAACTAGGCAAAAGTCACTAGCCACGAGTGTCGGGATTCAACTTGGTACCGACATTTAATGACCAGGACCCAACTTGGTACCGACATTCAATGATTGGGACCCAACTCAGCACTTTTAATCAGTTTGGGATCCAACTTGACATCGGCCTTCTAATGTATGTTGAATTGCCGCTGGCCTTTTCTTATCTATTATCGAATTGCAGTTACTGTTTTTATTTACGTATTTATCTATTTTACATCGACGTCAATTTTGAATAGCGATGTATGCACAAACTATCGAAGAATAATATTGCCAGTTAGTTTTGCGTTAACTAAGCCAGCAATAAGACGTAAATATTTACCAGTCATCTATTAATTCTTTGTTTTCGGTTAGTTATTGTTTTTTTGTTAAATGGAGTTTCATACAAGTAAAAAAGGACGATATCTTGAATATATTAATGAATACACTTATAGATTCAAAGCAGTTATGTGCACGAAGTACAGCGTTGGGTTTGTACTCAAGAAAATTGCAAAAGTTTTTTAAAAGCTCAACTCACATAATGAGCTTATCGAACACGAAGAAAAACACACTCATAATACTCTCCAAGAGGCTACAGCAAATCGACGAAAAATCAACCATAGTGTGAAACGCAAAGCATTGGACGATATTTGGACTCGACCGTTGAAATAAATTCATAGTAAGATAAACAATGACGAGTATCAGTTTACCATGCATGATTTGGATAGATTTTAGCAGAATATTGGTGCTACACGTTGGAGTGTGCTGCCTACTTTCTCCAAAAGTGTTTTGCAATTCCACAATACTCTCAAAGATTAACAATCGTTGACGCACACTGGTGAGTAATTTGTGTTATTAAACGACAAGAGGATGAACGCTGTGTTGTTTTCGAAGTAAAGAAATTTGCAATTTGTAGCAAAACAGCCTGTAATTTTTGTTGATGGCACTTTTTATGGTACTCCAAATTTTTTAAGCAATTATTTATCGCGCATGGTCATCAAAATAATATTTATGTCCCATTAGCCTTTTCTTTTACTTCCTGACAAAAATACTTCTTTGTACGAACAAGTTTTTAACATATTAAATGACGAATGTAAGAAACTCAAGCTGTCGTTTCAACCGAATACCATATACGCAAATTTTGGGCCAGCGATTAACAGTGCTATTAATAACAGTCTCACAAATACAAACATCTGGGTCTGTAGGTTTTATTTGGGCCAAAGCGGGTGACGAAGAATCCAAGAGCTTGGTCCAAGCAAATTGGATAAAAACCGAGATTCAGAAGAAAGAAACTTTTTGAAGTGCTTTCTCGGGCTGACTTTTTTAGACTCAGAAAAAGTTGAAGACTGCTTCATAAAAAATTTAATATGCGTATTGCCGGACAATCCTGTGATTTATAAGTTTCGTGATTATGTTATATTGAACTATATTGTAGCAGAAGCGCCGTATCCTCCAAAGGTGTAGACAAAATTTTCGGCCAGCATTTGTCACACAACAACTAATTGTGAAGCGTTTCACTCGAAAATTAATCAAGAGCTTCCTTCAGCACACCCGAACTTATATACATTGGTATCGTTACTCCAAAATGTTCAATCAGAAGTGTACGTAAAAATGTGAAGTAGTAGGGTAAAATTAAAGACTAATAAATTAGGAATGGGAACGTTACTCAGCCACAATCCGACATACATTAGGAAACTAAGCTTATCGCTCAGCCGCAATACGAGAACGTCATATTTAAAATCAAAACCCATCAAACAAAAAAAACTTGCAGCAAAGAAGATCCCAGGCATGACAAAGAAAGTTGTCGGTTGATCACCTCTCTGTTGACTAAGCAGTCAGATATTTCTATTCACCAACTGAATGATTTTACGAAGTGAAATCAACGTTTGTCACTGACCATTGAACAAGACACCTAACAGCCAGTCCCGTACTAAATTGAAATTAATTTGAAAGAGTGATTCCAAAAATGAAGAATGCCAGGAAATTCTGAAGAACTACCTCTAAGCCATTTCACTGCGCACCAAGAAAAACCTAACACTGAAAAAAAACACTCCTTTGCTACTGGTCGCCATTTCAAGACCAACCCCTGGTTAAGTTAATTAGACAACCAAAGACAATTTGTGTCCTTCATGTGAACTTATCAAATAAATTGATAAGAAAACATAACTCGAAATCAAAGGGTAAACTTATTACTTTACCAATTGTGCAGCAACAGAGAGAAATGCATTTAGCTACATACGTGACTCCCTGGCAGCCAGAAAGAAGGGCCCAAGTGCTGTTAAAGATCCTACTTCGCATTTTTCTGCAGTGAGGCTTTGAGTCGTCCCTTTTAAGTCAATTTTTTGAAACTGCTCTTCCGAGCTCTTGTTTCCAAGCTCTTATAAGTAAGTCCTTACTCCTGGTCAACCACTAAATGCCACCATAGCTGATGGGCGTCCATTACCAAACCAAGATTTCACGTATTTCCTAAACTACTTCGTTCTCTAATGCTCTCGCACACACCCATGAGGCACCTTCTCCCCCCCCCCCCATATATAATCTTAATAGATATTTTTAATATCCATAGAGGATTACTACCTTATGAACTGAGTTTAAAGTAAGGATCAAAGTAGAGATTATTAGAAATTTTAGTATATCAGATAGTTTGTTAAATAGTACTAGATAAAAAATACTCAATTATTGAAATGCAACGTGAAAAAAAAAATTATTACTTAAGGGATAATTATACATAGAGTTTTATCTAATAAATAACCTTAAACTTTAGAAATATCTCTACACTACCTTTTAGTGTATATCGTAAGCAATTCTCAATATTTGTTTCATTTGCTATAAGTATTATTAAAATGTTATGGCTAAAATTTAAATAATGTTGGCTTACACCAAAAAAAATAAGTAATCTCTTACAGCCAATTAAACGTAGCTTTATCAGATTGTAAAAATAAAAGTAATACATTGACTTTAATTAAAAAGAAAGTTCATAAATTAAGACTATGGTTTGAAAAGCAATAATAATAACAATTTTTGTTTGACTGAAAATTTTAATTTATAAGCATAGACAAGACTTTTAACATTTATTTGACAGCTGTTTTTTTAATTATAATTCTGTTATGTAATAATCATACAAAATATGATGTATTTTAATGTTATAATACAATTTTTTTGTTGAAAAATGTTTCTTTAAAACTATTGTGCGACATCTATAATTAATATAACTTTTTTAACAAAATTAGGTGTAG